GATTTTATTATCTTCATCCTTTTATTTTTTTTACTTTTTCATCCACAGGTGTTCTTTCCTTTTATAGGAAAATTTATGTGCTTTACTTGAAACTTTTTTTCAGATTAATCCAAACAATGATGTTTATTTGATTTTTCCTTAGTAATAAATATTGCTTTTATGATTTTCATAAATGTATGTTTTTTTTCCATGGGTGATTCTTTCTTTTTCTGAAAATTTGCTTTTTTTGGGACCAGGGATTTTATTTTTTTTCATTTTTTTTCTCCATCTTCTTTCTTTTCAATTTCCTTTTCCATCTTTTTTCTTTTCTTTTTTCTTTTGTTTTTGCCTTTATATTCCTTTTTTTTTGATTTTTTCTTTTCTTTTATTTCTTTTCTTTTTTTTCTGTAAAACTCTTTCTCTTTTTTGATTTTTTCACTTTTTGGGATTTTTCCAATCCCATTTTTTGTTTTTTTTTCTATTTTTTTTTCTCCTTTAAACATTCTTTTTCTGTCTTCTCATTTTTTTTTTTTTACTTTTCCTTTTCCTCTTTCTTTTTTCTTGAGGTGAAGGATTGTCATCATTTAGTCTTTCTCCAGAGGATTGCCATTTATTTTCTTTTTATTTTATTTTAGGAATCTGAAGATAACATTTAACCCTAGCCCAGCAATTGAACAGGTTAAGATTGTGGTGATTGGCAATCCTTTCATCCTGAGTTGATGTTCATGGGAATTGGTTCATTTTGATAAAAGATTAAAGGGCAGTGTTTCACAGGAAGAAGCTCACTGATGAAATATTGAGGGAATGTTTCTGGAAGCAGTGGAGAGAAGTTTGCCACATCCCATCTGCGGAAGAGGTGTTAAAGAGTGGAGAATAATTTGTCATCCACAAGACTGGAAGAGACATTTAACCTTTTGAACTTTAAGATTGTATGGTGATTTGGAACATGAGATCTTGGGAATTGTTCCCACCCAAATATGAGGAAGAAGTACTCATTTGAAGGCCTGATCTGGCTCTTGGAGAAAGTTTAGAGGATAGAGGTGTTTACTGGAGTATTTGTCATCCAGGGAGTCAACAATTTTATCTGCATCCTCAGTAAAGGATTTTAGGCCTGATTTTCTTTGTAAAGGTAGAGGAACTTCCACTTGAGGTCGGGTGTGAGTTTGAGGCACAACAGTCTTTCAAGGCGTGGTGCTTCCCTGAGAGGACCTCCATTCATCCTAATTGGTGGTAATTTGGGATCAGATCAGTGATGATGGAATATTATATATAAGCTTGGTCTTTGAGGCATTGAATATAACCAGCCAGTTTTTACCTCATTGAGTTTTTGTGCAAATCAAAAGAGAGATCATTTGCCAATCTCTGACCAATGAGAGTTTTAGAGGTGTGCCCATATATAGTCATACCATCGGCATAAATGTTTACAAATGATCTGAGTATATGCTTAGCCACATCACTTAGGTAGCTCAAAAAGTGGGTTGGTCTGAAGAGTTACCCTGTGGAATGCCTGCATTGACCAGCTAGGGTTTCAGAAGACTAGCCATTAATAACTACCTTCAGGAAGAATTTTATGATTGAGAAGACCCTTCCAGTGATTCCATAACTAGAGAGTTTGTGTAGCAAACCTTTATGCCACGCCTTGTCAAAAGTCTTTGAGATATCTAGTGCTATGGTCCTTGAGGTGTGTTTGTCATCAAGAGCCTCACTGATTCTGTGAGTGATGGTAAGACATCAGCAGTGGATCGAGCCAACCAAAACCCATGCTGCTTGTTGCTGAAGGGGTTGTTCTTTTCTAGGTGCTTGATGACCTTCTTATTGATTATGGCCTCCAATAGCCATGTAGACTACTCATAGAGCAGCCTGATAGCATCATATGTGTATATCCCTTCAGCTTGTAATTTTTAAAATTTAGGTCTATGACCGTCATTGAAAATTTATTCTTGATGGAATTATTTTCTTCTATTTCTGAATTTCATATGTAGTCTCTTAGACGTAATTACATCAACAGCACTGAATGCTGGGATATCACTCATTTTCCAAGTCATCTTTTGTAGTTCATTAGAATCAATCTTGTCTCATTGAAAATATTCTGTTGCTGCATTCCCTTTTGTAATTGCTGCATATATACATATATTAAAACCATCTCTTTGCAGATGGAAATATAAAAATAGATTCTACTATTTTGGAAATGATAGGAAATTTTTAATGAAAATACTGACCATTTACAGTATTAACATACTAGCTTAAATATTATGTTCAAAAAGACTTTGAAGAAAACTAAAAGATAAATATTGGTTTATCACATAAATCACTATATATATATATATATATATATATATATATATATATATATATATATATATATATATATCTTTTTTTTTTCTAAAATCATCAATGATGGGCTGTCTGTGTTCTGGTTTATCATGACAGGAAAAAATAACTCATCCAAAGAGATTACTTTTATATTTAGCATGGATCTGGCATTTAATTGGTTAATCAAGACATACCCACAAGTCTGTTTTTAATTCTGACCTTATATTCCCCCTACTGCCTTTAACTTTTGGAAAAGAGGTAAAACTGCTTTTGAAATTTCCTTAAAGATCATTTAATCACCAGTTACTTACCATTTCTTGAAGAAGGTACAATCATAGTATTGAAACATCAAAGCTTTTGTGTAGCAATTTCAAAATGTTTTTATTATAATCCCTTATAACAAAAATAATAATAATAATAATATATTGCTCTACTCTGTATTGAGCACTTTTTAAAAGTAAATGCTATGAACAGTAGAATTTTACTCCATCTGTTTTACTCTCATTTGTATATATATATATATATATATATATATATATATATATATGTGTGTGTGTGTGTGTGTGTGTGTGTGTATGAGTTAATAATATAGAAAAATTTGATCTACTTATTTTTATACTGATCCTTTCCAGTTATCTAGTCATGTTCTTGATATTGAGATGAAATTCATTAAAGAAGGTGCCATGGCTTTTTTTTAACTCAAGTACTTTCAACCTTTCCTATGATCATCTTCAGTGGTAAATTACAAATACAAACATGCTATTGTAATTGTGATATAAAATGAAAACAGAATGTAGATTTTATGGATGCACATGTGGTATAATAGAAATTAGCTTGGAATTGGAAAATAGGTGTCTACTGACAGGAATTGAACCTGTATCCTATATAAAACCGTCATATAGCCTGATGTGCCTTAACGCATATTTTCTATGAAAATTTCTCAGACATTCAAACCGGTAAATGTTCTTAATACTGTTTATTATAAACAGAGCATTTACTTAGATATTTGTATCTATAAAAAAGAATGTATAAACATAAAAAAATGTCTTCAAAAATAATTGTCGGACTTTGTCCATTTCATAATATATATTATGAAATGGACAAAGTCTGACAATATATATTTATTATTGCAAATGTTTTAGTGGATGCCCATTTTTGAAATAAACCCCCTGTTTTTATTTTAAACAGTGTATATTACATCTATCAGTCTGCACACACAAGAAATCTTAATAATTAAAAATATACTGTCTGGTAGAGTTCCATTTGATCTGATGTGTCTTTAACTGCTCAGCCATGAGGAATGAACAGCTCAGCAAGGCCCCATTTCCCTTTTAAGGAAAGTATATTTCCTTGTCTAGATTTTTTCTCAAATTCCCCATATTTGCTCAGTTTCATATAAAAAATGTAAACAAAGCAATTTCTAAAGAAGTAATGGATTTATTTTTAACCCAACATTTTTATAACTTTATTTAAATTATTTTTAGAGGATAACCATATTTGAAATAATTGTCTACTTAATAATAAATCCATTAATTCTTTAGAAATGCTTTGTTTACACATTGGATAGTAGTAAAAATGACATAAACCTGCCCCAGTGTTAATCTGGATATCTCACTTATACTTGTCTCTGGGATTAATAGCATTATAGGTGTGAATCATTGCAGTATTGTAGACAAATATAATTCTCAGCACAAGCATTACTGACATCTTAACATCTATAATTGCACCGAGTCCAGTGGCAATGCGTACAGATTTGGTGGACTGAGAGTATGTAGGTGTTGATCTACAGACTAGCAGACTTTGGCACATATAAAGTTAATGACAGCTCAACTAGCTCATCTCTGGCTCAAAGAACCATCCTTATTGCTGTAGAACTCAGCTGCTATGCCATTGATTTTGCTGTCTCTGTGACCTGCTTCTCTGATGCCAGTCAAATGGTAGCACATAGTGATGGCTTTGTAGTGATAGTAATACATAATATATTACTAAACAACCCTCAACCTCCTTTAGTAGACTATGTAATAGTCTGAAATTAATATAATGAAAGATAATAAGAAAAGAAATATTTAAGTGCTTATATTTGATACACATTTGGGTGATCATGTCTCTTTTGATTCATGACTGATTTGGCAGAAGATTTTCTCCACAGTATCCATTTCTTTTTCTGATAGACTGTTTGCCAACCAAGGCTATAGAACTCTGTCTGTCCTACTATTTAACCCATAGCTAAGAGGAGTAGAGATAGATTAGTAAAACTTGTATTATTAAACTATTATTATCTTGAACAAAAAAACTTTTACTGTTTAAAAATGTTTTCTGGTTTTAAAGGGTCGACAAGCCATAAATCAAATGAACAAAAACAAAACAACATTTACATTTTTGTATATCTTACCAACGCCTTTGAGATTGTAAGCAGAGAACTTCTGTGGAAAATCCTGAGATACTTAGGCTATCCTCACCATTTCATATATACCATCCAATCATTTTTAATGATATCTGATGTTGATGGTGATATGAAATGTTGTCATATGCTGCATTTTTTTTCTGCTGTCATTCTTTGATAAAATATATATATATATATATTTAATTTCACAAACTAACTATTCAACAACTGACAATTCTCTGCTATATATAAGACAAAGCTGTTGTTGTTTTTCAGCATGCTGATGACCATTTTTTTTCTGTTTGGTCAGATCCAGGACAATGTTATGGGTCTTTGCATCTACCACTTTCACTCTAAAAATAGCCCCTTTCATCTATCTCTTTCTTGCCATAAAAGATTGACTCTCATCTACTCGTGTATATATATATATATATATATAATATATAGCCCCTTGCCTCTATCTCTTTCTCTCTCAGTTCCCCTTTCAACTACTCTAAGCTATTCAACAACTGACAATTCTCTGCTATATCTAAGACATTCTAAGCTGTTGGTTGAGTTTTTCAGCATACTGATCTTTCTTTCTCAGTTCCCCTTTCATCTATCTCTCTGACTGTCTATATAAAGTTATGACAGTAGCCCCTTTCCTCTATCTCTTTCTCTCTCAGTAGCCCCTTGCCTCTATCTCTTTCTTTCTCAGTTCCCATTTTTTTTTTCTCTCTCTCCTCTCAGTTTGCCTCTATCTCTTTCTCTCTCAGTTCCCCTTTCCAGGACAATGCCCCCTTTCCTCTGGGTCCTCTCTGTTCCCCATCTACCACTTTCACTCTTAGTAGCCCCTTTCATCTATCTCTTTCACTCTCAGAAATCTTTTCTTTCTCATCTCTCTTCACTCTTAGTAGCCCCTTTCCCTGTCTCTTTCTCTCATCCTTTCATCTATCTCTCTCTCCTCCCTTTCAGTAGTGACCCCTTGCCTCTCATCTCTTTCTTTCTCAGTTCCCATTTCATCTAGTCTCTCTCTCTCAGTAGCCCCATTTAATCTATCTCTCTCACTCTCAGTAGCCCCTCATCTATCTTTCTTTCTCAGTTCCTCTTTCATCTATCTCTCTCACTCTCAGTAGCCCCTTTCCTCTATCTCTTTCTCTCTCAGTAGCCCCTTGCCTCTATCTCTTTCTTTCTCAGTTCCCCTTTCATCTATCTCTCTCACTCTCAGTAGCCCCTTTCCTCTATCTCTTTCTCTCTCAGTTCCCCTTTCATCTATCTCTCTCTCTCCTTCTGGTTTTCTCAGTTCCCCTTTCATCTATCTCTCTCATTCTCAGTAGCCCCTTTCCTCTATCTCTTTCTCTCAGTTCAGTCTCTCAGTAGCCCCTCTTTCATCTAGTTCTTTCATCTATCTCTCTCACTCTCAGTAGCCCCTTTCCTCTATCTCTTTCTCTCTCAGTTCCCCTTTCATCTATCTCTCTCACTCTCAGTAGCCCCTTTCCTCTATCTCTTTCTCTCTCAGTAGCCCCTTTCATCTATCTCTCTCACTCTCAGTAGCCCCTGTCCTCTATCTCTTTCTCTCTCAGTAGCCCCTTTCATCTATCTCTTTCGCTCTCAGTAGCCCCTTGCCTCTATGTCTTTCACTCACCTTAATCCATTTCATCTATCTCTTTCACTCTTTTATAGCCCCTTTTATCTATCTCTTTCACCCTCAATAGCCCCTTTCATGTATCTCTTTCACCCTCAATAGCCCCTTTCTCTCTCTTTCATTCTTAGTAGCCCCTTTTACCTGTCTTTTTCACTCTCAATGGCTTATTGCATCTTTGTGGTAATTTACCTTTTCATCTAGTGAAATGATTAAAAAAAGAAAAAAGACAAGAATAATTTCAATAGAGCTGATCATGTCTTAAATAGAAGACCAAAATGTTAGTAATTTTTAATGAGAAGTATTGGCTTTCAGTAGAAAAGATGAAGAGTTCTTCCTAACAAGTAGCACAGGTCTTTGATAGAAAACAAGAATAATAATCATTCATTAGGCCTCTAAAAAATTTTTTAAAAATATAATTCTCATCTAACTAGTTTTTTTAATCCAGGTAATTTTGTTCAGTCGGACAATTCATAAAAAAAATCTGCCTGTCTGCGTCTTTTTCCTTTCTTTTTTATGGGTCTTTTCCTCAGCATTCATGCTTAATAATAAGCTGAATTTTCTTAGAAATGAGTAAACGGCAAATTACATTCATTGTTGAATATTAAATGAATATATAACAGTATTATTATTTCTGTTGGTTTTTAGCCTGACTAATTTTATGGCTCATTATTTAAAGAAGTATGCGGGTACAAATGAAAAGATTAAAATTCTTTCCTTTCAGTCAAAATGGAGTAATCTATTATTCATTGGAGGTAATCAAATAAGTAGGTAGTCACTACAAGATTTGTTTTTATACCTTTCTTTCCAGTAATACAGCTTCAACATGTACTCGAGTGAGCCTGGCAAAAGGGGGAAGAGTTAACTGCTATACCCAAAATTTGTGGACATAACTTGCAGGGTTACTTATTAAATAATAATAGAACAAGTAGAATCATACTACAGAAGATTCATTTTTATTATCAATTTTTGACAAGTCTTTTCTTACCTTATTTTTGTTGTATGTTTACTCATTGTAACAAACATAAAAGTCTTAACCTTATCCCAAGCAATGTGGGGAGCTTTTTGGGCCTGTGCACAATTTCCTATTGATACTGCTCCATTTGTGGTTGAAATATTGATTTTAATCTCTAGGTATGTTACTAAATATAGATTGTCATGAAAGATTGTGTCAAGTTACTCTCAAGGTAATTGTGAATATCATGAATATTCCATTCGTTTCATATTTGCTGACATCAGCTTATTTTTGTGCACACACTGAATTTTCTAATTTTAGAGAATTACCAATAGTCATTAGCCTTCCAATACAAGTACTTTATGTTGTAATATACAGTAAGAATGCATTGAGGTTGTGAGAAACACCTAAGCAATTGCTCTCCCAGCAACTAAATGGGTAATAGGAAGAAAGAGGAAAGAGACTAGTGGTAATAAAATTAACACTGCCTCAGAAATCACAGCCAAATTAGGAACAAAATGCTCATGGGACTGACTTTATAAAACACAGTGTCTTGCTAACTGTTGGTTTTCCATTGCTTTTATTGGCATGAGACATCTTACAAAGACCCAGATCTTGACCAGTTGCAGAGAGGCCTGTATCTAGACATGCCAAGCTGTCCCGCTAGTAACAGGGAAAACCTGGTGTTGACAGATGTGTCTGCACATGATCTGGGGCTTCTTTTGTGCCTGTACCAATGCATGTTTGCCACACTTTATAAGTTGAGTACACAAATATTTCAAAGTACATTAAGCATGAATTTTTTGCATTGCAAATGAAGCAGTTACAGTGAAAGTTTTGTGTTATTTACTTTTCTTAGTTACACTTGATGAAGTCATTAGTTCTAGACCTAATGAAAATTTGAAATAAAAGACAAAGGGTAATATAATCCTGAAAAGGTTCAAACAATTTAAGCCATTATTTAGGGTTTGGTGGTATTTTAAATATGATGGGTAAAAAAGCAAACCTTCACAACTCCAAAACTCCTCTGATAAGGTTAAGATGAAGCCTCAATATCTTCTAAATAAATAAATGCCAAATTCTGTCTGTCCATTTGTCTGTCTGAAACGCCTTGAACTTGGCTCACATTTGCTCTACATAGATATATTATACCTTTTTGGTGCTTGAACTTTCATCATTGGGATTTATGTGCAGATGAGAACAGTTAAAAATTCAAATTTTAAAATAACTGAAAAAAAATTAGTGATTTTAAAAGTTTTTAACTTATTGAGTTTAAAGTAACTGAATTGAGGAAATCAATTTTATTTCTTCAAAATGCCAAAGAATCAGAGTTGACGTGAGGTTTTCAAGAACTCAACTTAGTTGATGTTCCACAGAGTTTGTTATTTGAAGAACTCAATTTTTGGTCAGAATGGAATTTCAGCCTAAATCAGTTTTGGTTAGTTTTGAAGTTCCATGGAGTGAATTGATGATTTTTTTTCACCCCAAGCAAGGGAGAAATAAAAATAATGGGAGAATAAATCTTTCTTCCAAGCCCTCTTGTTACAACACCTTGATTATGCCATAAAGAGAAAATAATGGCACAATACAGATCTATGTGCAATCCATTTTAGTTGTTGCCGTTATTGAAAATCATTAAGTGATGTAGTTTCTGTTAGGTGGTACTGTTCTTTGTTTGTGGTTCTCTGGTACCATTCCACAAGGTTTGGAGAAATATAGTCTTCCCTAAGAGCTACAGGCTTCATTCACTTGAATCAATTTTTAACCATTGATCTGAGAAAGTGTTGTATATAACTGACATTTTAGATATTTATGAACAGCTTTGACACCATGCAAATCTTAAAGTAACAAAAATGTAGTAATAGTCATATTAGATGTTTCTTTATAAGGAAACATTCAGCAGCCAGTGCTACTTTTACATGAAATTATAAAATCTTTCTATAAAAACAATTTTTAAGGGAAATAGGTTTCTCAAATCGAATAACAGTTATTTCTCATTCTAGTAATAATGGAAGTAGTGTGGAACATCTTTCTCAAGTGATGTGGTTTCTGTTATTTAGAACAGTTCTTTGTTTCTGTCATGTCAGTCTATGAGATTTGAAAAATGATGCTCCTTACTAAGACTTACAAGCTTCATTCGCATGAAGCCATTTTTAACCATTGATTTGAGAAAACAGTTGTATACAACTGATAGTTTAGATATTTCTGAATAAGTTTGGTGCCATGCTTGGCATCCATATGAAAGTTTCAATCTGACAAGGCTATTTAAGAACATGACTAGTTTTTAGGTTGATATTTTGGTTTTGCAGCAACTTGCGGTGTTGGGAAAAACTACTCCTAAAGTAACCTATTCTATATTCAATTTCCTTATCACTGAAGAATCAAAAACACAATACTCACCCTCACAAGGAAGTTCCCAACTAGCATCCAGATGGCAGACAAAAAGAAAGCAAGCTGTAACTCAATACAGAACCTAGCATTCACTGTGTAATAATGGATATTTATTGAGCACAGTATCCACACCAAAGTTAGCAGCCAATCAGGACCTAGAGAATAGGCTTGCCTAAGTAGCAGAATGGAATTTCCCAATCTGTTATATAAACCACTCACCAACTGGTTCAGACAAGCTGCCAGAGCAGACTCAACTTCCAGTACAGTCGAGTACTGGTCTGTTTATCTAACTAAATTCTACAATCTCCTATACTAAATTTGTTATAACTGATCCACACACTGAGGTATTTAAAATATTTAGTATTTACTAATTCTACCTTATAATGGATTCAGGGTAGATACCATCACAGATTTCACTCCAATTCCCCATCATGTTTTTGTTTTGGGCAGGTTTTGTCATTAGTCATATTTCTTTGAACACTTAGTAGCAGATGTTGATTTTAGTTTAAAATGATTCTATTTCAATATGATATTCTTCTTAGTCAACCATTTCATCTAATATAATTAGATATAATCAATTTTTTTAACAAAATTAATAACTCTTTACTAATTTCCTGATAGTCACCTCTTTGACATCATCATCACCAGAGAACTGCTGTCTTCATGGGCCAGTCAGATGAAGCCTGAAGTCTCCACTCTCTTCTTAGATTCCATCCAATATTTTTTTTACACAGATGTTTGAATAGAGAAGAGACTGGACTTAACTGTAGACACTACCATGGCTCACCTGAAGATTTTCACAACATTTAAAAACATAATAAATATAATGAATAATGATAAAGTTTGGATTTTTTTCTGATTTCTTGTTTAAAATTAACTGTGATAAGAAAGGAAATTAGCCAATATATGTTTAGGAACTGTTTGTTAAATGCCAAAATGTTATATGCACCTCATGAACTATGGCTTGGTCTCACCTGATTTATCCATATATATATATTTTTGAGGATAAGGTTAGCTGTCTTAAATTTTGTTTTATAATAGATAATTAATTTGATTTTTTTATTCAGGTCAATTGGGGTAGTGTATGTCTTTATAATATTTCTAAGTGAAGATTCATCTTGTTTGTAGTTAATGTGCATTTGGTTTTTGTAATAAATGTGTATGTAATTTTTGACTGTGTGTTCACTGTCATTATTACTTACTTTGGGGAGAAATAGTTTAATTTGGTGGTCTATAAGGTAGTTATGGAAGCTATTGTTGATTAGTGTTTGTTTTACATTATTAAGTTCTTTGATATATATATATATATATGCATGTGTGTGTGTAGGTATAGTAGGCTGATGAAAATTCAAGAGATAAAAAATAACAAAAATAATAATAATGATAATAAGACTAATATTATTTATTGTATATTATTAGTAAGCCTTTTGAGCAAATGGAAGCATGATAAGAAAGATGGCAGCACAAAATAAATGTAAACATGTTTCTTCAAATGAGCAAAGACTTTGTTTTTCTGAGAGAATTTTGCCTGCACAATTTATATTTTGTGAACTTGCTGCTTTATTTCTGTTGCTCTGCCTTGTTTGACTTGCATTTTACAGGGTGCGATGAATAAATTGTCGTCTAAATGATGCAAAAAATCATGACATTGACATTTCATTTTAATAGATATATTTATCAAAATGACACAAAAATATCTTGAAATACTAAAGAGTAAATTCATTCAA